AGACACAAAGGCCATCGGAAATTAACAGTCTAATCGCAATCGTGACTAGAGATCTTTCTAGGACGCGTTCTGAAGGCACAAGTCGCGGCGCTTTCTAGACACGTGAGACGTATCTGTCCTCCCATCACCATCATCATATTCTAGTTTCGGGGGCCTCCATTTCTTCCATTCTACTACCGATGTCACCTCAAAAACTGGTTGTCTTCTCTCACACAGATCGCTCTTATTTTTTGAACATCTTGTAGTCATTTTGAGGTCACAACACCGGAGAATGAATTGCAGCATCCGCGTTTGAGATTTGTGTCCAGGTGCAATCGCCAAATGGTCTCAACCTCGAACATAATTTGGATTCTTTGTTAACTATCCTGAGAAGCCTGTATTCCTCTCATGGAACCGTAGACTGATCTAAGGAGAAGGGTGCGCAGTCTCCGATGGATCGGAAGTCCCGGATATCATAGTTCGGGAGATCATAAGCATACTACAGGAACCCGCTTGAGAGAGTATCACTAATCTTAATTTCAACCGCCAAGAGGTTTAAGGGTTGTCTGGCGTAATAGTCAATCTAATTTTAAAGGGTAGTGGTCACCGCCATAGATTTGATGCTACAAGTGAAGGTTGTCAGAAAAAGTGGCAACGGAAACAAAATAGCTCCGACTCTTCCAAAGTCATAATACATCCGAGGCGGCTTAAGGACACTCGATATTTGGCCAAGACTCGGAAGCAGATTGAAGGACTGAAATTTCTGCAAACGTAGATTGATGTTTTATAGAATCAGGAGCGCTGTATCTCCAAGACTGGAGCATTTGGTGCATCGAAGGAAAGTTCACCAAAGTCTTTTGCTCTCCTACCATCACCAGACGTACCGACACCGTCATGTTTAGTGAGATCATCACCGCCGTCGCTCTATCAGGAGTGTTCGGAAAAGGTGCCGCGTCATGCACTTGCGACCTGAAAGTCGAAAGCTATATCAGCCCAGGGTTCTCGTTGGATGTTGTGTCGTCTCTGATCATCGGCTCTCAAGCCGCTGCGATCATCGACTTGCCTCTTGCAGTTGCCGACGCGGGAACTCTGGCTCAATGGGTTAAGAACACAACTGACAAGCCTCTCTTGGCGGCTTTCACAACGCATAATCACCCCGATCACTATCTGAGCGGCAAAGCATTCCTTCAGCACTTCCCCGAGGCCAAGCACTACGCCACGCCAGAGACGGTGCAGGGGATCCAGAACGAGGCTATCAACAAAGTGAGAATTCCTGTTGACGTTTTGAGAAGGAATGGTAATAACAAATTTCTAGACTGAATTCTGGTCTGCCGCTTATGGCCCCGGCATTATCGCCCCCGTTCCCGCGATTCCGACTGCCTACAACTTCTCCTTCTTCACCCTCCCAGGCGACGAAAAGTGCCCGATCGAAATACTCAAGAACATCGGCGGCGATACCATTGATCTATCTTCATTCTGGATTCCGTCTATAAAGACACTAATCGCAGGTGACGTCGTCTACGGCCACCAGATGCATGCCTGGCTCGCCGACCTTCTTACGCCCGCCCTCACAGAGTCTTGGCTCACGACCCTCAACTTCATCACGGGCCTCAGACCTAGTCTTGTCATACCGGGACACGCGCTAGCGTCCACTACCTTCAGTGCGCTCGCCGATGTCGATCATACAAGGGATTATGTTTCTTTTTTCCAGAAGAACATCGAAGCCAAGGGTCCCGACTTTTACACCCCGCGGGAAATTTCGAGCATGATGGAGGCTGCTTTCCCTGGCTTGACAAACTTGACGTCTTCAACTACTTCGGCTACCTTGCTCAACATCACGTCGGAGAACTTTGGTCGAGGTGGACAAAGACAAGTACACTACTTCGACTTAACTGTGTATAACGATACGGATGTCTTGGATGGATGGCGCTTGTGATAGTTCGTTAAAGTAGACGACGCCGAAAGAAATACCAGTTCTAAGCCTAATCCTACCGGATAAAAGGTGTTTTTAGAGTACTAGTACGATTATAGCTTTGACCTGCAACTAAAATTTCAACAAGACGTTCATAATCGTCTCAACCCAGTCCCTTCTTCCATGACTGATCTTTTTCATAAAGGAGGAACTAGTAGGGGTATGAGCCAATGGATGGTAGTCGGGACTGAAATTAGGCCGGATGACAAGGATGTATACATGTAGGTACACAAGTTGTATAGTCCTCTTCCCAGCAGGTTCAAATGGTTTCATTCGACTCCTACTGTTTCAAACCGGAAAAGCAAAACAACACATAAACATTGACCAGGGGAAAACCGAGTTGACCGACGAAAAAACCCCTAGTCTACAACACTCCTCGACATGAGCCACGTTCAGACCCGAACATTGTTCCAAACAAGATACAGGTACGCGCCACTTCTCTTATGATTGATATCTGTACTTATTCCGTCCCATCCAGCCGCGCGGGCATCATCGAGGGAAACAGAGTCGTTGGGAGATCTCCATAATTGTACTTCACTGATCCTCGTAGGCAAGTTCAAATCTCGTGAAGTGACCACATACCGGTAGTCGCCGCCAGCTCCTTGAGCCATGTCCCCTCCGAATGCCGGTTCGTCGTCGCCAGTGATCTCAATCCTTAATCCAGTGATGGCGCGGGATGGGTCGGCAGTAAAAGATTTTACGACGTAAGTATACTTTCCGCCGAAACTATTATTACAATCTGGGCTACCCAGATCTCCACTGTTGTCCACGCAAGTGCCAGTCGGGAAGAAATCCGAGTCATCAGACGCCTCAATTCTGAGAGCTGAGATGTATTTTTGCGGGGGAGGGGGGGAATTCGCAGGAATGGCGTTCCCGTGTACGTTGTTGTTGGTAGCCATAGCTAGTGTTACTTAAAATGGCCTTTGAAGTACCTAGAAATTGACTGCTTGGAGATATTGCAGTGACTATGAGGGCGGATAGAGAAGATGATATATTAGATCAAGTGAAGGTCTCAGAATAAAAGTAGGTCGTGCTCCGCCCTTAAAAGGTGTTTGGGCAACCCTGTAGTCTTCGAACCCCTAAGTTACTCTCTTCTGTGAAGTCTCAGAACATGCTGCGGCGAGCTGAAAGAACGCTAGTCATAACCGCATTAACGCCGGTCTTCAAGAGTCTAGAACTGCTAGTGAGTGGTGGGCACGGACGTTCGGTACCAGACGAATCAGGTGTTTCGAAACAATCGAACTATTTAACTGTGAACCATTTGACTGTAAACGAGAGATTGATGCCGTTTTCAGAAGGGTCTGGACTATTGTCCCGTTGCTGTATGCTACCTGAATACTCTCAGCACATAGGTGGATGAAGAATGCCGCACAGGGGTTTCCGCTTGTGGAATAGCCAACTAAATGCATTTATGACCTCTCTTTATGGAGTAGATCAAGTGCTAATGCGGGTTCAACTCAGCTGAGACTCTCGATAATTTGTGCGGCTGAGGGAACGACCATGCCAGAAACGAATTCGGATGCATGATGCTACCTTACGATGGCGTTGAGCTAGAAAGCTGAACCCCATCCCTCTTTTTCTCTCACAGTCGGATTGGCGCCTATTATCTCATTGAAATGCGAGATATCCCTTTCTTCGTCGAGAGGGATATCCTAATTGCACAGGCAGAAAAGCGATAGCGGTATTACGACCAGACAACAGAATGATAAGTGAGGCAGCTCGAGAGGGGAGGACCGAGCTACCTTACAGTCAGGACAATCACGCATTCTTTCTATTTCTGAAGGGAATCGGATGCAAGTCTGAAAGGTTCTCACTGAAGCAAGGTGATAAGGACAATGAAGCATCCCCTCGCCTCCGCCCTGATAGCTTTGGTCCCAGGGCATCTTCAACTGCTGATCAAAACCTCCTATCATTCATAAGAGCGTCGACGGTCACGCAGTAGCCGATGAATTTGTGACTGCATAAGGTGAAATGCCCACGGACCCATGACTACGCAGGCAAGCCGCCATGACATGAACCTGTTGGCACTGCGATGGTGGAGGTGCCAAGTCATGTCTCACAGTCTCGGGTATGAGCTCGTTTCTATTCATAATTAGTATTCTGCTTCTCAGAGGGTGACTTGAAGGCGGCACTTTGCTGGGTGAGCTGGTCGTAAACGAGGCATTACTCTCATGACCTATGGTGTCATTAGCTATGGGAGTAGCAAGAGCGTGTCAAGGTCCGAAGTCTCGGACATCGCTAAGTTGAGTACTTCAATAATAAAATTGCACAACGAACCCAACTAGAATGAATGTTATTATTTTTGAAAAGAAATATGCAGCATTTTCCTGTTCATTAGCGGAGTTTTCATGATACTCGAAAAGATGTTCTTGAATCTTTTAGTTTTAATGACATTCATAAACAAACAGGTTTTCGTCTTCTGTTTAGAGAAAGAAAGAATGAGAAAGAGATCTTCTCGGCTTTAGTTACGTAACTATTATTTCATGCCTGTCGCGTAGCGGATAGAGAAATGCACATTCCTCATAGTCCTTGAAGAATAGTAGCATTATTGTAGCGCATATAACATCATGAGATAACAAGAAGAATACACATCCACTCAGCGCTCGAGCATATGAACCTGTTCACCTTTAAAGCAATCGGATTTACCTAGATACATATGAGACAGAGGTATTTGAGGTACCTATGGGGTGAAGATAGGAAAGTACTAGTTCAAGCGTGCAAGGTGTCCTTGAAACTTTTCCTGTCGGTAGGCCGACACTCGAGAAGACGGCACCTCTAAGGCTTCAAGCAGCCACTAAGGTAGCGTCAATGAAGGATGCGAAGATGTCTGTTCAGTATTTTCAACCACATCTTCATGTTAGAGTTCAGCTCCACAGATAAAAGCGGTCATTCATATCTGTTGAGACCTCAAGGTTCTCTAATGGATCACTTTAACTTGATACCGCTTACTTCAGGCTCTCCATCTACAACGATTCACATACTGACAGACAGCCTTCGGACTCAACTTCAGATATTTGCATTCGACACTCGATCGCTTGAATCCATCAAAATGCGCTTCCATCAAGTACAAGCTCTCATCGTTGCTTCCTTGGCCGTTTTGGTATGCCCAAGATTCCAGGGCTACTCCATGGTTTATTACTAACATGACATTAGGCTTATGGATCAGCAACCACCAACCTGGCCCCTATTGAAGGGTATGAGATTATCATCCCAGAGTGGGAGTTTCAAGATGATATCAACCCGAGAGCCGAGAAAGTCGTTTTGAATGGAACAGTTCAGGAGGTGTTGGCGGATCTTCGGTCCTACAACTCTCTGTACGCGCAGGTCTTGGGCCCTGAATCGGGTTCTCCTACCACCTCTTCAGCCCTAGAAGAGCCGAACAAGTTCGATATTTCGCATGTCGTCTGTCATAAGTTTTCCTTGGGCTCAGTCGCCGTTGTAAAAGATGGCATCAACGAACTCAAACGCATCCGGCACAGGAGGGCTAAACTCGAGGTTGGCCGGGGAAAATGCGCTCTTATGACTTGCGAATTCAAAACTGCCATCTGGTGGTGTAATGACGTGAGTCTAGAATTTAAGACGACACTCTACATGCAAAGCTGAGTCGAGATTTTACAGGACGACAAACCAAAGACCATGAGAACATTCGACGGCATTGCACAGGGGGCTGAAAAGGTCTTGCAATCCTGCGCGAAGAGGAACTCACCTAACGTATTGCGATCCTCAGGACAGGCATTTGACAAGATGAAGTGGAGCGTTATCGTGCGCGGTGAGAATTGCTAATAACGAGAAAGGACAACTACGGGTTTTCGGGTGGACTTGCCGGATATCAGGTCAACGGATGCAGCTTGTAAATGCAAGTGTTTGACAAGAACATGACCTTCTCTCCAGTCTACTTATATTTCCTGTATTTCGCGCTCGTTTCCATGGCCAGAACGTTTGTGACATTGGTGAGTCTATTGCTTCACAAAGTATTCCAGAAATCGATGAGAGTTCTCATTTGATGTCGACGGTCGGATGCAAATTGCTTCCGGCAGCTCACCAAAGCAAGATAAAATCGGAACCAAAATGAACAGTCTCACAAACGAATTTTTGCCATGTTTGAAATCGATATTGCCATGTGAACTAAGATAAATTGTACAAGAGAGTAGTGTCCCCTTGTTTAGGTAAAGTTGGAGGTGCATCAAAAGAGGCGAAGAACTTTTACAACAAACGCCAAAGCATGGACAGTCTACAGCAAATTCTCGTCCACCTACTGAACGAAGCGGACTCAGGCGCTGACTCAGATCATGACAACTGCGATCACGGCCATCATCACCACCACCTCCGTCATATCAAGGACCAACTCGACGACTTGGAGCCCCCTACACATCTACAATTGCTTCACCAGTTACTCTGTGTCCGCACACCGGACCCACCGCTCCCGGAAGACATTCTGGTCGGGATAGACTCTGTCCTACAGCAGCAGGCATCCCATCGTGTCCTGACATTAGCGGGTTCTATTCAACCGACAATAACACTCAAACGAGCGAACCATAAGAGCGTTAGAGTTACGCTCTGGAAAGGTGACATCACGACTCTCACCGGCATCACTGCAATCACCAATGCCGCAAACAGCCAGGGCCTCGGATGCTTCCAGCCACCACACCGCTGTATAGACAATGTCATTCACGCTGCTGCCGGCCCCCGGCTACGGGACGAGTGCTACCGGGTCATGAACGAAAGAGGCCGTGAACTCGGACCGGGCGAAGCGATAGTCACAGACGCTTATTGCCTACCAGCAAACCATGTGGTGCATACAGTCGGGCCGCAACTGCAACGTGGCTCAAAACCAACGACAAACGAGACTCTGCAGCTCGCCCAATGCTATCGCAACGTTCTTGCCGCAGTCGAACCGCTGCCCGCGACGCCAGATGGCAGGAAGATTGTCGCGTTATGCGGCATCTCGACCGGCTTGTTTACCTATCCGGCGCGAGATGCAGCAGCCGTGGCGGTCAGCGCGGTCGCGGATTGGCTTGAGCACCACGAGGATACGTCCATCACCGATATCATCTTCAACACCTTCACGGACGCAGATCATGCTGTGTACCAGGAAATCCTGGCTTCTTCCCCGCATACTTCATGGATGGGGCGGGCAGCGCCGACTTTTACTCCGCCGGCAAGTGCGAATCATCCGCCGCTGATCCAGTGCGACTCGCTGGACCGGGCCAGGCAGTGGTTGGACGCGGCTGACGCAGTCATTGTGAGTGCCGGTGCCGGTCTCTCTGCTTCCGATGGGCTGGATTACACTTCGTCGGCCCTGTTTGCCAAGAACTTTCCCGGTTTCTTGAAGTATGGGCTGCGAACTCTGTACAGCGTCTTTGGCTTCAACTCCTGGCCAACGGAGCAGGTTCGCTGGGGATACTACTTCACCCACTTGGCGATGGTCACGTCTTGGCCAAAATCGAGAATGTACCGAACGCTCATTTCATGGCTTGAGAGGTTTGGGGAAAACGCGCATGTGAGGACGTCTAACGCCGATGGTCTCTTTGTCGCAAACGGGTTATCACCAGAGAGACTTTCTACCCCTCAAGGATCGTATTCGGTTTTCCAGTGCCTGGCAAATTGCCGACCTGAGGCAACAGTGCCATCGGCACCTTTAGTTGCAGATGCGCAGGCGTTCTTAGATCCAGTATCTCAAATACTGACAGAACCGAGCAAGGTCCCCCTTTGCAAGTTCTGCAACGGCAAAATGAACATCTGCGTGAGGGCAGGGCACTGGTTCAACGAGAAACCCTTTGAGGATGGGGAGAAGAGATGGAAGCAGTTCCGCCGGGATGTGGTGCATCGTGAGGAAAGGACGACAGTGATCCTAGAGCTTGGCGTAGGGATGTCGACGCCGGGGGTCTTGAGATGGCCTAACGAGGATCTCGTCATAAGAGGCGGGGGAAGAGTGAAGCTTGTGAGGGTAGGCAAAGGACCTGAGACGGCCGTCCCATGGGATTTGGAGGCAGATGGGTTGGCGACAAGTATAGACGGCGAGATCTCAGCGGTGGTGAGCGAACTGCTCGCGGCACGAGCGTAGTTAAGATGGGCGCAGTCAAAGGATTGGTGCCTGCTTCTGAAAAAAACTTCGGTCGATGGAGTAGGGCGTCTCATGCCGAGCATCAGATATTAGGATGAAGGTAATCGATGAGAGTCTATTCCCGAAAAGGTTTGACTCAGGAGCACCTCAAAGACTACAGGCTGAAGAATCTCAATTTTCCAAATGTCAGAAACGTGCCTCACGAAATAGAAACCGTGGACCTGCATTTCCGCCACTTGTAGAGAATGCTAAACCACTCATGACGAGGGACATACGATGAGTACGATTCGTCCCTTAGGCGATGCATGAACTCTCGACTAACGACTTTGGGTGAAGACTTCGCCAAACACAAGCTTTCACAGCTGGAGCCATCCGAGAGGATCGGCGAGAGTTGCCCTCACAGGCTTTCCTCCGTGCTGTGGTGGTCATGACTAGCCCCCTGTTATGCCTCTCTGCCCTACGTAAAGTATGTTCTTGGCATGTAATGCAACCTCGCGTAGGTAGTCCTGGCTGTACCTGACGTATCTAGTAGCCTTGCAACTTTACGCATCTTCTTGCCATCCATCCCACCGGGCCATAGGATTCCCATGACTACATGTACCGCCTGGCACCCGAGTACCTACTGCAGGCATGGCTCGGGGTAGGGCGAGTTTTGAGGTGTCTTGGCAGCTTGGCAGCGAAGATCAAACCCGCGTGCGGCGTCAGGGGCGCGTCAGGTCTCGTGCGCACAGCGGGCCTGGCGACTCGCACCAGGCCTTACTGTGGCTGAGGAATTCCCCCCTTTTACACTATGCGCTGTATTGCGATTGGTTTGCCAGATGATGATTGATCTACGCAAGCATCGCGGGCGCGGGAATGCAAATCATTGTGGTTCTTTAAAAGAGGGAAATCATTGCGGCGAAGGCTTAGCTAGTGGGGGGACCTTACGGGACAGGAGACCCACCACGGAAGACGGAATCGGCCGAGAGAGTGGGACCGCCCAGCCGGTTCTCGGCTCCGACCCGGGAGAAGGCGAAGAATCCAAGTGTTCAAGAAGAGGCCTGAGCAAATGCCAGTGCTACGCAAGGCGGCAAAAAAGCTCCGTGTAGACAAGCTTTACAGCACCCGACTAACCACAACTAAAGATAAGTCTTGGAAGGCTCAATTGCCCGTGAGGCTGCCTGAAAGTGTGTCGATGTTTCTACCTATCAAATCTTGACATGACCCTTCTCGGTTTCTGCATCAGCCGGACCTCCCGAGTGCTCGTCCAAGTATGAATGACTGGGATCGGGTTGTGGGACCTTACGCAGTAGAATGTGCGCCTCATGGCATAGAGGCGACTCTTGCCCACAAACCAGAATAGCAAACGGGCGTCTTCTGTGTGTCCCATGCTTCCCAATGCGATCATATCCTGGGATACAAGCCCCCCAGTAGAGACCCGATTTCGCCATCGTGTTTCTGACACAACTCTTTTTGCCAAGCTTATTTTTCTCCGCGCTTCTATTCGAGCGGGGTGGACCAGTTCCTGTTCCAGGTATGCTGCGGTGTAGCACGGACAACACGAATCACAGCTGGCGACTCAGCCAGCCGCGCCCCCTTCTCCATGGGTCTCCATGGATTGGCTGAGGCTCTCGAGTCCTAGCTGCGTGAGCTGCGTGTGTGGTACTGGCAATGGTTGTGTCTGCAGTGTCTGCAAGATCCAAGCGCAACGGCCCCCCCTGTATCAACTTGCCCCTCCGTTCCCTGTCAGGACGTCTAGAACTGCCATGCTTGCATCGGAGCAAAAGGCAACCGATACTCCCTGCCCAGGTCTCCCCCATAATGAAGCCCACCTATTGTCCCTGGCCACCCCCGGATCTTTCAAGGTGTTCATGTGAACAGGGCCACATTCGCCTCGCCTGGCCCTGGAACTGATTTTCCCCAGGGTCGATGGGTGATCCACAGAAACGAGAAACGCCTGGCGGTGCAACGACAGTCCTGGAAACCGCCGGCGGCTCATGCGATGGTCTCCTAGGAATCGTGCCCGGCTGGCAGTATTGATTCACAATGATCAGCGAAACGATGCGCCCCTCCTGCATCCTTTGCCATGTCAACGGCGATCAAATCCCCCAGCCTCCTCCCGGAGCTGGAGGCCTTCGTGCCTCCGTGACTCCGTACTCCTGGCGGGCCACCTCCTTGTTTCCCCTTCTCACCACTTCAACCTGTTCGGAGTGGTGCGAATGCTACTTTGTGTGGATACTTCGGGCAGCCGAGTCAAGTCTAAATCCCAGAAGACCAATGAGACTGGGCAGCACGCCAAAGGGCAGAGACAAGCAAACGGGAGTGGTGAAGCTTGACCTGGCGTACCTGGCACTAAGCGCTAGCTCCCGTGGTGCCCAGCTGAGAGTACGTAGTAATGCATAGCATCGCTGCGTTCTGCAGGGACTTCGCCTCTCTCAGCCCGTTGGTGATTTCCTATACGCCTTTGTCCCATTTCGGTATTCCATCCGTAAAACACCAATATGCAGAGAGTGGCATTGAGCACCAGTGTCAGGCACGACACTGCGGGCATGGCTAAGCCCAACACATCTCAACTTCTCATCGTTGGCGTATCCACTATCGTCCGCTGTCCAATTCACACAGCAAGTTGCAACGGGGTGGGCTTTAGGGGCCTTTGTTCCAGAAGATTGAGATGATAGCCGTCAGAGATCTCTGCGTCTCTCTCCATTCTTTGGTTCCCAGTCGCTCACGACTACGCTTC